CTTGTCAACCGTCTTAACATGAGACAACCTGAATTACCCTGACATGACCAAACTGCTGAATACACTCAAAAATCATGAATTTGCTCAATATGCTAAGGTGACCGGTGGCGTGCGCACCGTGTGCTGCCTACGGCGTTAAGCCGATTCTCGACCAAACTTTATTTTTCTTCGACAACTAACACATAACTGGACATGAAATAATATTTACTGATCAAATTAACATGAATTGCTCGAAGGATCATTATCTAACATGACCATGCACATGGTGGCACGCGCTACGTGCGCAATTCACGTCCCTTTGGCCAACTCAACGATTAAACATGAAAATCTCTTCGACCAACATAAGTTAGCTGAACATGAAATGGCTTAAAACAATCAATTTGACAAGCATTTCTCAAGAGTGGTCGGATAAAATTGAACATGCACGACGTGATTTAACTCGCACGACCGATAATAAATTGAGACTAATTCATGAGCTTGACTTGAACATAACTGATTTAACATGATTCTAATAACATCAAGAGGAGGTAAACCGAGGTTACCTCTTCGAACGCTCGACTAAAACTACACCAACACTCGATAGCTCGGATGATGCACCTCCGTGCGTGCGGTGTCTCTTGCGCGTACTTGCGATTAGCTCTCCGCGTGCACACTCTTACTAAGGGGAAACTCTCAGTTTCTATCTATGCTTAGTACTTAATTAGAAATATAAATTAAGTATAGGAGCAAAATTTCTCCCCACACATGATATATATACATAGTCGAACGGTGAAGAGGTGGAGAAATAATTTTGTCCAATAATCTTGAACCATTTGTTGAGAATTAAGACTTGATATGCTTAATCACCTCTCAAGTAGATTAGTCATCACTTAGTTGCTTAAGACAAGGACACCTCATACTTAAGGATGAAACATTCTCCCCATGAACATGCACTAAAATGCCCACGACATTAATAAGAATTTTGCACAAATTCCTCAAAATGCTACGGCATTAATTTAGTAACATGATTAATTATTAATTAATCACAATAGTATGCTTAACTATTTAACTAAGCATGATACTTAATTCCCAAAATTAATCCGAACGTAAACGTGACTTCAAAAATAATTTCGGATAATCTCGACTGAAATAATTAATTCTAAAAAATAATAATCGACAATATTATTATATCGGAACTAGACACATGATTAATATTAATAACATGACGGGATATTACAATAATTATGATACATGAATATGTGTTATTCATGTTATGGGAATTAAATATCTTTGTCATGTTTATATTTGTGTTTATTTGTTAAATAATAACAGGAATAAATGAATATGTTTCATTAAATCAGGTTAATTAAATTATATTTATTTTTCTTTGTGTTATTTGTGATGATTATGAGCTTGGCGAAATTTTTGAACTCATGGCATAAACAAAAATAAAAATGATAATTTAATTTTATTGACCTCATTCTTAAAAACTATTTTATTTACTTGTAGATGACAACTAAATCTATGATTGGAGATTTGTTCTCCAACGAAAAGTTAGATGGTACCAATTACGACATCTGCCATAGGATGATTCAGTATCTTCTTAATGAACGCGAGGTTTTGGAAATCTTGTCCACTACTGTGATTGAGCCAAAGGATACTGCCAGTGCGCAGTACAAGGAAGAAATGACAACCTATCAGACGTGGTCCAAAAAGGATCGTTTTGCACGCTATACTATGTTGTATTGCATGCATAATGACCTTATTGGAGAGTTTGAGAATTGTCTCACGGCTAAAGACATGTGGGAAAAGCTTAAGGTCACCTTCGGGCAAACTTTGGCTACTAGGCTTCGTGTCTTGAACTTAAAGTGGATGGATTACAATATGGATCCTAAACACTCTGTTGCCGAACATTTGCGTGTCATGAGTGCCATGATACGTGACCTGAAAGCTACGGGATGTGATGTATCTGACGAGGAGCATGTTCTAAATGTGGTTTCGTTCACTTCCAAATGACTCTGAGAATTGGAAGAACTTCAAGCTCCTCATGGCTCATAGCGAGAATGTAAAAAACTTTTTCTGAACTCGCTAAACATATTGAAATAGAAGTAGAACGCCAGAGAACATTAGCACCTTCTAAGTTGCATTTGTTGCCCATGGCGGCCAAGCCAAGGGAAATAAACACAAACGAGCCAAGAAATTTTCTCGTCATTCTCAAACTTCTGGATCGAATGGTGGTTCAAAGAAACAACTTATGGCACATGGCCAAAGGGAGAAGAAAATAGAGCATGTGAAGTGCTATAATTGTGGAGAAAGGTCATTTCGCTCGTGATTGTGCTGATTCAAAAAAGATACCTTCTACCACTAACTCTTTGGAACTATTTGTTTGTTCTCACGCATTAGTTGCTAATTCTATTCCTAATTGGATTATAGATACGGGAGCAAGCAAGAACATAGTTCATGAAAGATCTGGATTTGTGGAGTTCCACCAGTTTCCTATTGGCACTCAAACTGTCATGTTAGGAAATGGGAGCGAGGAAGATGTCCTTGGAGTTGGAACATACCAACTTAAACTCCATGGTGGAAATGCACTACTCCTGCATGATACTCTCTATGCACCCGGGGTGCGTAGTTGTTTACTTTCAGTTGTTTCCTTGTTAAAACTTGGATTTTCTTTTAACTTCAATACTAGCGGTTTGGACATTTTGTATCATAACAATTTATTCGGACATAGTATTTTAAAGAATGGTTTCTTTGTTCTTGACTTGGATGAAAGTTATAATGACTCATCACATGATTTTGCTTCATTTTATAATATTGATTCTGAATCTGTTAAATGGCATGCGCTGTTGGGATCTATGAGGATCTCGATATGCACAAATCACGGATAAACATTGAAACATGAACCTATGCACAGCGGATCTAAAGGTTTGATGTAGAAAACTTACGGATTAAAATTTATATAGATCTGGCTGGCCCGAACGGATGACCGCAATCAAATCTCCTCGAAATGAAACAAACTTGACAAATTCGGAAAGTTGGCGTCACGACGAAGTCAACGGCATTGACCGGTCGGGAATGGGAGCATCCACGCGCTCTCGCGCGCGCGTGTAAGTCTCAGCAGCAGCAATCCTCCGGTGGCGCGTGTAGGCACGTGCGGCGGCGGCTGGCGGCGATCTCGACGGCGATCTCTTCGACTCGTCGTCCTGGTCGTCGTGGTATAGTCACTTGCTGGTTTTGGTCTCCATTTTGGATGGATGATAGATTTGATTGGAATCCCGTATATACCTTA